CAATACTTTTGCATTTGCAACAATTTCATTATTTTGATTTGTTACTTTCCCTTCTACACTTCCTTTTTCTTGAGCCCATGCAATTGCTGGTAAAGCAATTAAACTCAATAACATTTTCTTTCTTAACATATTAGTTATTTAGAATTAGTTTAATTAAATTTGAGGCAAAAATAATTCTAAAAATCTTGTTAAAATTTAGGATTTAGAATAAAAACATTCGAATATGGGAGCAGTAGAAACTTATTCTACATCAGAGAAAGAATTTTTTAACTTTTTAAGTCAGAATAAAAATAATTATTTAAAAAATGAATTAGTAGAATTTCATGTAAATAAAATATTTAATAATTCTGATTTTGTTATAAATGAATATAAATATACTTATTTTAAAGATTATACATTAAAATCTATTACAAATTCATCTAGTAAACATATTGTTAACTTGCTTTTATATGAATTCGAGAAGTTAATTGAAGGATAAATATTATAAAAAAATATTTATTTACCAAATCATATTATATCTATATACTCTGAATGGGGTTAATGTTGAAATTTATTATAAAAGAATGTAATCTTATCGTAATTTGATATTCTAGTTTCTCCAGGATTTTTTATCATGGGCTTTTTTTGAAAAAACATCTAATTGATCCTTTTATATCATCAATTGATAGTAAAAAATTTACACGTTTAATAAATGATGGAATTCCTATATCCCCACAAATGTTTTATGCTTTAAAAGAAATAAAAGAATGTGAATTAAAAGGAATATCAAAAGAATATTTTATAAAAGCACGTATCATGTATCTTCTTCAATTGATTTTTGAATGGATTGATGAGAAGCTGTCTAATCAAAAAAAAGAAAATAATTCTAGATTAAAAAATGATGATATCAATATTTTGAATGATATTCAAAATTTCATAAAAAAGAATCCTGAACAATATTACACAATTGAACAATTATCTAATCAATTTTACATAAATGAATTTAAATTAAAAAAAGGATTCAAAGAATTATTTGGAATGGGAATTTATCAATTTTCATCACAAGTACATATGAAGTATGCATTAGAACTTTTAAAAAATAGTGATTTATCTATTAAAGAAATAGCATATAAAACAGGTTATTCTTCTTCATCTGCCTTTTCTGTTGCATTTAAAAAAGAATGTGGGGTCAATCCTAATAAAATAAGACAAAAAAAAAGTAAATACAAAAAAGAGTAATTATTAAATAATTACTCTTTTTTTGATATTTGCTATATCAAACTATCTTTAATTAATTTTTCAAATACCTGAAGAACTCCAATTACTTGAATTTCTTCTTCTTTATATTCATCAAAGCTAAAATATTTAATCGCTTCAATTTCATTTGTTGGTTTTTAATATCTGTTTTCAAATCTAAAGAAAACAATCTGTATCCATTTGTAATTATTTCTTCTCGTTGCTGGTGCAGAAATATGAGTATAAAAGCTATTCTTTTTTGAATTTAATTCTAAACTCAACTCTTCTTTTATCTCCCTAACTAAAGCTTCTAAAGATGTTTCATTATTATCTAATTTACCACCAGGTAAATACCAAGCTTTTTTATTCTTACTATAAGTTAGCAATAATTTATTATGATCTAGAACAAGTAATCCTGATGTATAAAGACTATCCATTATAAAAAATTAGATAGATTTTTGCCATTCCCAAGCAGTAAGCATACTTTCCGTCAATGATATTTTAGGTTGCCAATTCAACTCTTGTGCTGCTAAAGAATTATTTGCATAGGCTTCCACAATATCACCTAATCTTCTTTCTTTTATTTGATAGTTAACTTTAATATTATTTGCATTTTCGAAAGCGTGTACAACTTCTAAAACTGTAGATCCTGTTCCTGTTCCTAAATTAAAAAATTCTAATTTCGTTTTATTTTTATTTTCTAATAAACGTGCTATAGCTAGAACATGTGCATCAGCAAGATCATTTAATCAATATAATCTCGTTGCAGTTCCACTCCTGTTGGTAATTTTTTCACCACCGAAATAGACAATACTCCTTTAATACCAGCTGCAGTTTGTGTAATAAGAATATTATTTGGGTATTCCATTAAGGAAGTCTCCTATTTTTGAAGTGGAATGGCTTCCAACAGGATTAAATTCTCAAACAAATACTTTTTTTATTAAAAGTATTCGAAAAATCTTCTAAAATTTCCTCTCCCATTTGCTTTGTTTTACCGTAAGGAGATTCTGGTTTTTTGAGAGGTGTTGCTTCATCTATTGGCATTTTATCTGCTTGCCCATAAACTGTACAAGATGAACTAAATATAATATTATCAGTATTAAAATCTTTCATTCCATCAAGAATATTTAGTAATCCAACTAAATTATTTCTATAATACATTAATGGTTTTTCTACAGATTCTCCTACAGCTTTATGTGCTGCAAAATGAATAATACCATCAATTTTATTCTCTCTAAAAAATTGATTAACTTTTTCTTGATTCTTTAAATCAATTTCATAAAAAGAAGTTACATTTGTGATAGATGCAATACGATCTACAAAATCTACATTTGCATTAGAAAGGTCATCTATAATAACAACTTCATAACCTGCATTTTGTAGTGCGACAACTGTATGAGATCCTATATACCCTAATCCTCCTGTGACAAGTATTTTATTCATTTTTTTATTTCTAGTTTTTTAGTTATCCAAATGTATAAAAATTAAAAAAGCTTCTGAAACAAATCAGAAGCTTTTAAATGAAAATATTTTTTTTAAATTATTTTCCAAAAAACTCTTTTACAGCAGACGTAATAAACATTAATTGTTCATCATCTAATTCTGTATGCATTGGTAAAGAAATTACTTCTTCTACTAATTTATTTGTATTTGGGAAATCTGCATCGTTATAATGTCCATTATTATATGCCTTTTGCTTACGTAAAGGAACTGGATAATAAATCATCGCAGGAATTTCTTTTTCTGTAAAAAGCTGTAATCATGTCTTTTAACTTTGTACACGTAAAGTATATTGATGAAAAACATGTGTACTGTTTTCATTTACTTCTGGTGTTAGTAATTCTTCAATATCTTTAAAAGCTTCTGAATAATAAGCCGCGGCTTTATTACGAGCTTCATTATAACTGTCTAATAAAGGTAATTTTTTACGTAAAACTGCAGCTTGTACAGAATCTAAACGAGAATTTACACCAACCTCATCATGGTAATATCTTTTATACATTCCATGATTCACAATTCCTCTTAGTTTGTGAGCTAATTCATCATCATTTGTAAAAATTGCTCCTCCATCTCCATAACAACCAAGGTTTTTAGAAGGGAAGAAAGATGTACAACCAATATGTCCTATTGTACCTGCTTTTTTACCTTTATAATCAGCACCAATAGCTTGTGCAGTATCTTCTTACAAATAAGTTGTATTCTTTTAGCTAACAGCCATACCATCCATATTAAACATTGACCAATAAAGAACAGAATAAAGCTCTTGTTTAGGGTAATCCCAGATTTTAATTTTTCAATGTCAATTGTAAAAGTAGTATAATCAACATCTACTAATACAGAAGTTAACTTCAATAAATCAACAACTTCTACTGTTGCTGCAAATGTAAAATCTGCTGTAATAACCTCATCTCCTGGCTCTAACCCTAAAGACATTAAAGCTATTTGTAAAGCATCTGTCCCATTAGCACAAGGTATTACATATTTTACATCTAAATAATCCTGTAATTCTGTTTCGAATTGTTTTACTTCTGGTCCATTAATAAATGCCGCAGATCCTAATACATTCAAAATCGCAGTATCTACATCTTCTTTTATTTTTTGATATTGACTTTGTAAGTCAACCATTTGTATTTTTTTCATAATGCAATGAATCTTTCAAAAAACGCAACTAAAAAAAGTTGCTACTATTCAAACAAATGTACAAAAAAAGCTCATTACAAATCTTTAACTTTGCAACATTGTGCAAGGATTTTATAACACATCGATTAAGGCGTACGGAATGGCGCTAAAATTGGCTTCAAACTTTAATAAGAAAGCTAAGCTTTGGGTAGATGGACGCAAAAATTGGCAAGAAAAAATAATATCTTCAATCCAAAGAAATGATAAAATTTTATGGGTTCATTGCTCTTCTTTAGGGGAATTTGAACAAGGAAGACCAGTTATAGAAGCTTTACGAGAAAAATATCCTACACACAAGATTGCTTTATCATTTTTTTCTCCTTCTGGTTATGAAATTCGAAAAAATTATGAAGGTGCAGATTTAATTTTTTACTTACCATTAGATACAAAATCAAACGCCAAAGAATTAATAAAATTATTACATCCTGATATATTAATACTGGTAAAATACGAATATTGGTTTAATTTAATTACAGAACTAAATACTAATAAAATACCCACAATTGTTGTTTCATCTATTTTTAGAGAAAGTCAAAATTTTTTCAAAAAAAATGGGAATAATTGGTTTGCGAAGAAATTGAGTTTAATTAATCATTTTTTTGTTCAGAATCAAAAGTCAAAAGATTTACTATCATCAATAAATATTAAACAGTTAAATGCTGGAGATACACGTTTTGATCGAGTGAAACAAATCATTCATCAAAACAATCAATTAGACTTTATGGATTCATTCAAAAATGATTCAAAATTAATTGTTGTAGGAAGTTCTTGGCCAAAAGATGAAGAATTATTTATAGAATTAATTACAAATAAATTAAATGATGATTGGAAAATTGTTTTTGCACCACATAATTTAAATAAAAATGAAATAGATTCTTTTATTTCTAAAATCAATCAATCCACAGTAAAATTTTCTGATTTAGACAAAACATCACTAGAAAGTTTATCAAAAACAAAAGTTTTTATACTTGATACAATTGGTATTTTATCTAAAGTTTACTCTTATGCAGATATAACATATATTGGTGGAGGATTTGGTGCAGGAATACATAATACCTTAGAAGCTGTAACATTTGGAAATCCTGTGGTTTTTGGACCTAAATATAAAAAATTTCAAGAAGCTGTTGATTTAGTAGAAATAGGAGGTGGATTTTCTATAAGTAACCAAACAGATTTCAATACCATTTTTAAACAATTAATGGATAATGAAAGCTTTAGAACTGAAGCTGGTCATAAGGCTAAAAATTTTGTTATGAATTCCCCTAACTCAACCAAAATTATATTACAGTACTTAGAAAAATATAATTTCAATTAATTTAATTAGAAGTTACAAATAGGCACAAAAATTGTATTCTTGTTTAGTTCTATTCAACTATAACTATGGATATAGCTTTACTCTAGCAAAATTACAAATACAAGCTATTGTAACATATTAAAATAATATACATGAAAAAACTAATTTTTGGACTAGCAATATTTGGTGGTTTAAATACAGCACATGCACAAATTGATTTAGGTGTAAAAGGAGGAATTAATTTTTCAACACTATCTAATTATCCAACTTCAAAATTTAAAGTGGATTATTCTCTTGGAGGATATGCTAATTACGCAATTACTGACCAATTCAGTTTTCAACCAGAGATTTTATATTCTAAACAAGGTGCAGGTTTAAAAACAAATTCTAATGCTAAATCTAGATTAGTCACTCATAACATTAATATTCCATTAATGGGACGTTACGAAATTATGGATGGATTCAATGTTGAATTTGGTCCTCAATTAGGTTTCTTAGTTTCTGCTCAACAAAAAATTAAAGATGGGAAAACAGATATAAAAACTAATGTAACTGATAATTTTAAGACATT